ATGCAACCACAAACATCATCTCGACACTTCATTTTTGTCTTCTGAATCCTATAACACCATTGGGTGTTTAGCGGTCATGAGAACAAGCAGGATACGAAGTTAACAAATGATATCCAATATTTCACCCACTGAACAAAATCAACGCCACGAAACATTTAACTTGTTCCATACACACACACACACACACACACGAAAGTAAGATCACATGAATATTGAAAAAACAGATCAGAAAATACTAGAACACACCAAACATGAAATGAAAATGTTAAAATCATATTTCTGTTTTTTAATTTCGTGCAAGCAATATTAGGCAATACAACGTACGTATGAATCGAGTGAATTTTCAATGTCACAAGATTATCAACATGACATGGTTGACCTTGATATTTATATATTTATATATTTATATCTTGTTTTTATAATCAGTTAGTTAGATTGTCAGTTAGTTAGTGAACATTGAATTCAAATTAATCATCTTCATTGTTTCACATCTTGTTAGTTCGTTCGATTTATGTATCTCACTGTTGTTGACTTTTAATATATTCCTGTTGTGTTCAATTGTCAATGTACAAATATATATATTTCGTTTGTTTTTCTATGTACTTCATAGTCTAAGAGATTTTGAGAGATTCAAATGAGAAATATTGATCGTTGGAGGTCAAATTCACTCAAGTGTGAAACAGTTATACCTCGAATACAATTAGATAGAGATATCTGAATATTATGAGTTGACTATCACTGGTTTCACTATTCGGGTACTTACTTACTAACTTACTTAATTTAGGGCAAAGTTTTGGAGGTTTGTGTTTTTACACATTTGAAATCATCAATCAGTTATTGTTAGACCATCATTAGAAACCTGGAAGCACTAAGAGGTGGCCGTTTCGTCCTGGTATAGGACCCATCAGCAGTGCGCATCCACGACTCCTGCACCTCGCGGGATTCGAACCCGGGACCTTCGGTATTGTAGTTACTTACTTACTTACTCTCTTACTCTCTTACTTACTTACTTACTTACTTACTTACTTACTTACTTACTTACTTACTTACTTACTTACTTACTTACTTACTTACTTACTTACTTACTTACTTACTTACTTACTTATGCACTTATGCACTTACTTACTTACTTACTTACTTACTTACACCTGTTACCCTTAATGGAACATAGGCCACCGAGTAGCATACTCTAACCTACACTGTCCTCAGCCTTTGAGTTCAGCTCCACTCAATTATTGTTCATTCTTCTCATGTCTGTCTCCATTTCTTGAGGTATTTTGTTCTTTGGTCTTCCTCTTTTCCTGTGATGTTGAGGATTCCAAGTGATGGTCGTCATGTAATGCAGTTGGGTGCCTTCTCCAAGGTGGCCCGTCTCCGCTTCTAGCACTTCTGCCTGATTTCTTCGTCGACCGGAATCTCAGATGGTGTCTGGCCAACGAATCTGAAGTATCTTGCATAGAAAACTGTTAACAAACACTTGTATCTTCTGGATGATGGCTTCGGTAGTTTTGAAATTCTCCGCCCCATAAAGTCGAACTGTCTTGAGAGCGGAGTTTAAATTTGTTACTTTGGTGTTGGTCGATAGTTGTACAAATGCTGCTCTTCCTTTGCCAATCCGTTCCAGAATATCTGCATCAGATAATCAATGATGCTTCTCAGATGTGTAATGATTTTTAAATCCTCTAAAGCTTCTCCATCAAGTGTGATTCGGTTGGTGCTTGTTATGTAGTATAGGATATTCTAGTTTTTCGCATTGTGTATTTTGAGTCCTGCCGCTGCTAGGGATGCTGCTACACTGGCCGTCTTCTCTTGCATTTGTTATTTTATATGAGATAGGAGATCCAGATCACCTGTGAAGTCTAGATCATCCAGCTGCATCCTAGTCGTTCAATGTATACCGTGCTTTCCTCCAGATGTTGAGGTCTTCATAATCCAGTCAACCACTAGAAGAAGCAGACAGGATGAGATTAGGCAACCTTATTTGACCCCAGTCTTTCCTTTGAACGAGTTTCATGATTAGATGGTCTTTGAAAGAATCTTAGAAGTCTTAGGTTCAATCTAGCAGTAATGAAAAGTTTCAAACTAGGAAGAAACGATTCTCCAATGCTTTCTAGTTCAGTTATAATCAACTAACTAAATTTGCATGATAGGATTGTGGAGATTATCAAGTTACTTCTTGAAATCATGAATCGATCAATTCTAGAGCTTCATTAGAAATCTAGAAGCATTAGATGGCCACTTCAGCCTGCTTTGGGACTCATCAGCAGTGAGCATCCACAACTCTCACTACTCAAAGGATTCGAACAAAGTACTTGAGGGCGAATGCCTGACCTCTGGACTACTGAGCCGGAATCTAACGGTGTGAATGTCTTACTCCAATCAATCTATGGTCTTGCACAACCTCATCCACTGACTTCAGTGAACAATGCTTTACACCTGAACAAGATTGAACTAAATTTGTTTCATGATTCAAAGTATGAGACAAGAATAAGGATTATCTAATTTATCATTAACAATGTAGAAAACTGTTAAAAAACACATCTTTCCGTACAAACGAACACACCTACACATTTTCTGGATAAATCACATATCAAGTTTTTTATAGATTCAAATAGAATTTATCGATTTTCAGACTCTTCATATTTTTACAATGAAAAATATTTTATCAGAATATTTGTGAATAAATGAAGTACGATAAAAATTATGGTAAATGACACGTAAGTTCTAAAGGGAATTTGTGGAGAATGCTTCAGTATCATGAATTGATCTTAGCTAGACTACGAGTAGAAACCACGAAGTATCGTTAGATTCTACTATAAGACTCCTCAGTGATAGGCGGATCCACGGCTGCAGAATATGGGAGTTAAATCCGAAAAATTCAGTCCTGCATGCGAATGCCTAACTTTCAGACGACTGAGTGAGTAATCGATGGTGCTATTGTCAAACCAATCAGACCATGATATTTTTGAACCTGCATCTACTGCCCTATATCAGAACTAATCACAGAAGCTGTGACTTCAAAAACGTGATCGGAAGTTATTTAGTCCAGTCAATATACAGTCAAAAAATCAACCTCAGAAATCAAGAAGAGGATCGTTCGATAACTTGTCAGAACCGTCGCTGAAACCATCCTGAAGCTATTTAGAACCAACTTCAGTTAGAAACTAACGCATTCATTTCATTGCAGTTTATGTACATCAAAAGACAGAAGCCCGTCTGGATTCCAAGCCCCGATAAATGGTGAGGGTTGGGAATGTGTTAGAAACCCCAACTCGTAAAAAACCAAATCGTCAAAAAATAGCTAACCAGAAAAAATAGTTCAGACCATTTAAAAACTGTTTCTTTTTGGCCTCATCTATAAATGAACCTTGACTAGTAATTAGGCGACAGATATCAATACATACAGAATACAATGAACAAGAATTCTACTAGTAAAATGTCGAAATAGGTGAAATTACTGGAACGCCAGAAAAATCTCCAGAAACACATCATTCAAATCAATTATCAGTGAGCAGACGATCCAATATGGACCTAATCTGTGAACTCATGGAAAAAAGATCAGACAATCAGAAGACCAAACAGGATAATTAGCATGAATCTAAGTGCAATGACGGCGAAGATAATCAATCACAAACAACACCATCAGAATGAACTGAAAACATATTTGTAAACCAGCTAGAACGCTTGCTTCTACATCAATTGAGCGCTGAATATGTTATCCTTAATATTATTGATAGCTTCGCGATGAAGGCATCTAGCTTGGAGAACTCAGCACTGTTAAAAATGTATTGAAACCTAGAATCAAGAAATGGTTTACAGTCGTAACTGTCTACCAGTTAACCCTAACTCTTAGCTAGTGACTGTGGAAAGTTTCAAATTATTCTGAAACACTTTACCACTCCTTTATATTTTCACCGATTCACTAGATCAAGCGAATTCAAACCTCTTGGTACGGCCGAGGATGAATGGAGTCTGCTCTCTTTCTCGAAGTTCTCTTATGGCCTTGTCTACATAACCATCTACCCATTACCTACTCACATTGGATGTTGTTTACGAAATTCTGAGGACGAAATTCGAATGTCCAATTAGGGTTTTCAAACCAGATTGGTGAGTATGAAGAATTCATCTAACAGATTCCAAACCAGTGTAATATAAGTACTCAAAGATCTCGATGAAACGAATGGCGTCTGAATTTATTGTTAGTTACTGGTTATTAGAAGACTATACTTCTAGGTCAAAAGATCGGTGAATGGCTCTTTGAGAAATTCTACTTACATCCATTTAGACACCCAAACAGTAGCCTAACCCACCTCATAAATTCATTGATTTAAGTGACATATATAAATATGTTTTTCATCAACCGATCATTGTTAGACTATCAGTCGAAACCTAAAAGAACTGGACGACTAATTCGTCCTGGAATAGGATTCACCATCAGTGCACACCCATGACCAGTTCGTCGATAATTCACTGTACATTCAGTTATACATCCTCCGTAAATAACATCATCAGAACGAAAAATCCACTTCTTTTTCTAAATTACCCGGGAAAAATAGTTTCCTTTCTCTCTTTTTCAATCAATGAATTATCGATTTTTTTTTGTAGATATGACAATCGTTATCATTGAGGTACTACTTTATACGCTGAACTATAAATAGTAGTGTCCACTAATTATGCCCCATCTAACTTGAGACAACTGTGAACAAGTTACAGACACACACACACACACACACTCAGACACACAGACACAAGTACTAAGCTGGAACATTCAGCTTGACATTGGCAGCAAGCAATACACAAAATCTAATTAAAATCTTTCTTATTATTATTATTATTATTATTATTATTACCTATTATGTAATCTCAATATTATCAATGTCATTATGTGTGTCACCTTTTCTGTCTAACACTAATTAAACGAAACACTACATCTTAATACTCAAAGGACTTCCTCCATTCATGACATTAGAATCAATGATCTACACATATACATATATATGGATAAATACACAACTGTTTTTATTCAGCATTTATTTGCTTGTTTGTCTGTTAGTTTGAAAAAGTTAAACACTATGTACAATGTGTTCAATGAAAAAGAGAATATCACTAAGAAAATATTGATCTATGCATATTATTGTATGTACACATATTGTCTGGTGGTGTGTGTGTGTGTGCGTGTGTGTGTCTGTCAAAATCACTAAGTTCAGTATATATGCAGCACATTGACACAATAATTACACAAAGTTCATCAATGATTTTTTTAATTAAAGTGTATTTCTTGGTGTTGTAGAATGTAGAAGCCGACAAAACAAAATCAATAATAGTGATAACCTTGTTTAATTCATGATTCTCCACTGTTCCATACTACTACTGATTGACATTGTATTTAAGTAGTCAGTTGTTGTCATTTGAACATAGTTTGCTGTATATCATTCAACCAATGTAGGACACGTTGATGCGATGAACACCAAATATCAGTTAATTCTAGTTTAAACAATTGTTCTAATTGATCAATAGTTTGTGCAAACTCTTCATCATTATTATTATTGCTACAGTCTGTGAGGTTTTTATCTACTAATGGTTGACAATTTTCACAATTTTCCATAACCGGACAATTAGTCATTTCATTCAATGATGATGATAACTTCTGCTGATTGGATAATGATGCATGATGACCTTCATGAGCATGTTGAGCATGGTGATGATGATGATGGTGATGATGGTGATGATGATGATGATGATGTACATGATAATGTTGATGATGTGGATATTTATCTCGGAAATGTGGCAAACTATCATCAGCATAGTCCAGCTGGACTGGTGGATCGTTCTTCTCGACGACAAGTTCCGTCGTGATTGAAGTATCTTTAAGTGGTTGCTCGGATTGTTGGTGTTGTTGGCGCTGAACATGTTCACCATTCTCATTAGTGTCATTTATCAATTCCATCGATTCTTCATTCAGTAAATTCATCTCCTTGCCTGTACTGTTGGTATGTTGACACTGATTTGAATATTGACTATGATGATGTTGATAATGATGTGTATGATGCCTGTGATGTGCATAATCGGGTTCTTGATGATGTATTGAAAAATCTGCATCAGATAATTTCACATTGAATTTATTTGCTTTTCTATCTGTCGCAGGTGATTGAGCAGAACATGTTTTTAACCATACACTCCAATTAGAATCATCATTATCATCTGAGTGATTATTATCATGTGATCCACCGAATGGTGGTATACTTGTCGATGATAATTCACTTAATCCAGATAATGGTAGAATTTCTTCATCCAAAATATCATCTAACCACATTAATGATGCTGATGATGATTGATTGAATAGACCAGGATCTGGATTGGATTTATTCATCGCAATGCATTCTGAATGATGATTTATTTCAACTGGTAAACTATCAGTTATGTAATGATCATATAAGATTGATTCATTTTCATTATGTGTATTATGAATTAGTGAGAAATGATTGTTCAAATGATAATTTTCATTGTTCAATAATGAAGGATTTTGTTCAATATGATATTCCATGACTTTTTTTTATGTTTTTTGTCAATCAAGTTGTTTCATACTACTACTACTACTGCTAATTTTTTTGTTTGTTTGAAACAAACTGACCAAGTTCCGTTCTTACCAACACTATACTAATCCTAACAACAAAAAATTGGCGCGTATTTTGACATTTTTAATCAACCAAATGGAATGAGTGTCAGTGTTTAAATCAATTCTAACTGGTCCAATCATAAGTTGACTTTGAATTGTACCAATCAAATTATTGTGAAAGTCATTTGATCAATTTATTAACCAATAGAATTTTTGGACCAATCAGTTTTTGGATTTTTTTTGTTGAAAAAAAAATCATTTGGAATTCTGCAAGATTATTGATTGTAGATATTTGTTTGAATGATATCTATCTCATTGATCAATGTTGGTTGGATTGGTTGCTTTCTTTTTTCTAAAATTAGTACACTATTTGCGTAACATTTTCTAGGATAACTTGTGTTCCATCAGGTGTGTGTGTGTAATCGGTGATATAGTTTAAGATCAATTTCTTACTTTTGTTCAATATCGTGATCAGTGAAAACGAAGAAAATATACCGCTGTTTATAGCGAAACACAGTGAAATTGTCCATTTTATAATTATTGATCATCGTTTTATTTTTTTTGAAAGAGATATCAACTCTGAATATTGTCTACAGCCTTATATTAACAAAAATGCCGGCGGAGTGGTCCGATGGTTAGGCGTTCGCGCACTGTACCGAAGGTGTCGGGTTCGAATCCTGCTAGATGCAAGAGTCGTGGATGCGCACTGCTGATGAGTCCCATACAAGGACGACACAGTCGTCATCCAGTGCTTTCAGGTTTCCGATGGTGGTCTAACAATGATTGATTGATGTTTTAAATGTGTGAAAACACAAATCTCCAAAGCTCTGCATGAAAAAATTGAATCTGTTGTTTGAAAAATGCAAGAGAGAGATTGAAAGAAAATTACCATGACGATGGAAATTTTTTAGCTTAGGATGGTTTAGGGTTCGTCACTAGGTACGCTTGAAGCTATTACGATTTCACCTTAGTCGATAAACGTGAACGAGAAAATTACCAGCGTCTAGGTAGGCTCCCTTGATCCCAAAACTGCAAAAGAGAAATCTTGATAAGCGTAGAAAGTATATTGTACAAACAGCTAGTAAGCACACAATGATCTCAAGCACACAACTCTTGTTTATTTACACATCATAGAAACGTCCTTGGGACAGTCAAGAAAATAGCACACTAAAATACACAGCAGCCAATCACAGTCATGGTTTTTCCTGGTGAGAAACTAAATCTCAAGATCAACTGATCAGTCCATGCTCGCAAATACGAAATCCAAAATTAAGGCATTTATCAAGCGAGTTCTGGGGATCTAACAGCCCCAACAGATGGAAGGTTTAAAAAGGTGAACATTTATGTGTTTCAAAACATGACAGAAATTTATCAATACTTCATTTTTGGTACTGCTCAAAATTTATTGTGTCTTGTTCAGAATAAAATTCACTTAAGGCCAATAATCTTTATCCGCCTTTATATCAACTTGATGTTGATTGGTCCATATAAAATTCTTTCTGTTCTGCATTTGTCCAATCAGAATAGAGTCAGAAATCAGCTGATTTATTTTAAAAAAAATCCACAAGGTCACGTATATCGATTATAATGTCACAAAGAATTAAAAAAATTTTTAAAAAAATTCGCAGTTTATTTTGATATTAGAGAGAATATGGTACAAAATTGAATAAGATTTTTAAAAAAAAAATCAAATAAGTCCCTGGAATTCATGAGTAATATATGAAGACATTTTTTTATCGATCAATAATTGAAATGAAAGTTTGCACTTGGAGCATTATATAAAATACTGTAAATCAAATACTTGATAAACACACATTATATTACTTACTGAATTATGCCTGTTATCCTTCATGGTGCACAAGCCACCGACCAAGATTCTCCAACTAAATTTGTCCCGAGCTCCCTTTTCCAGTTGTGCTGAAGTGCTATTTATACGTTTCTGATCTGTCACCTTGTGCATTGTGTTTTTTGGTATTCGTCTTTTGCCTCTACCATGGGGATTCCAAGTTATGTCTTGTCAAGATGATATAGTTTAGTGATTTACACAGTGTATCTCCTAATTTCCTCCGCAACTGGAAGCTGATAGATTATTTCTGTGTTGACAGGTGTTGATAAACATCTGAATTTATTTTGAATGATAGATTTTGTAATTCTTCAAGTTTCATCTGCATACAACAGGACTATGTTGATGTTTGTTTTAGAAATTTCAGAACCATATTAAAATCTTCGAAGTACTAGACAGCTGTCTCATCCTAGTATAGGACTAAGTAACAGTGATCTTTCATGACTCTCACCTGCGGGAACCTAACCCAGAATCGTCGGTCTCGCGAGCAAACGCCTAACCTGTAGATCACTAATCTGGCATTAAACAGTGTTACTGTCCAACTTCGATTAACCCATAGTCTTGTACAACTTTATCCATGAATTGGTGCCTAACAAAGACAATGGTTATCAAATTATAATGAAATATTGATGGGGCTTCAGGTCAACAGAACTCACCGGAGAAATGTTCTTATTTTGAATTTTTGTGTTTTCGCGCATAAGTTGCTCAGTTGACCTTGAGATTACATTTCCCATTCGGAAAATTCTTGACTGTCATTAGTCGATAGATTATTTTAGTATGCTATTTTCGTGGCTCTCACAACGACGTTTCTATCATGTATAAATAAATAAACTCGATTTATATGCTTAGCAACCTCATATTTTCTGGGTACTTGTAGAATACACTTTCTACACCAGATCAAGACTACTTCTTCTACTTAGTGGGGCCTTGGGACACTCAGATTAGAGTAGCCTATCATGTCACTGGATCATTTATCTTTGCTATCGTGTTTACCGACTCATGTGAACTCATAATCGCATTGAAGCATATCAATTGACGAGCATATCAAATATATATATATTCACATATTGCATTTTCAAATACGATGTACATCGATATTGTTTGATGAAGAAAGAAGTCTATAAAAAGATTTTTAACAAAAACTGACGAAAAATTATTTAGATGAGATAAAAATGTAGAAATCTGTAAATAAGGTGATTTCGTATTCCTTAGCTAAAAACTTCTATTCACCTTAGTTTATAACATTGTATTCACAAGTTGGCCTACCACTGCCGTTTGTGTAAAAGATTATAACTTCCAATTTAGGCCAAAAAAACATGTATCCATAAATTTATTTGCTCCTATTGTAGTGAAGGAGAACACAGGTGGGGCAACCGAATTGTAATTAACGAAAATTACAGTGTTACTCAGTAAAATCGGACAACCATATCGTAAATCGTTCATTTGCAAATCTTCAATCCATCATCAAATCCATTGTCTGACATTTCACTCACTATTCATGCGTTTCATACAAATTCCATTGTGTTCCCCCCACTCTTCCTTTCTTGATCTTCCCCCATCTTCTGCTGCCAGACATTACGTTTACACTCGCGTTATATACTACTTATAAGTAGCGCGCACCACACTATGAGGTAGGTTACATTAGCAGTACAAAGCGATCACTTTTCAGATGCATCTTTTACAAGGGGAATTCAAAGCTATGACTAGCCTAATAGGAGAGTATCTGATCAACTCTAGAGACATATCGTACTTAAATACAGTTATTCATTAAAGTCAAACGAACTGAATCAATATGAGATCAAATAAAATATCTTATACACTGCTGAGGCATTAATAATCCACCAATTCATACCTGAACGCTATGTACGAAAACCGATTCGTCCAAACGTCTTAACCTTACTTAGCCTCGTTACTTTTTCTTCGAGTTCTAAAGAAAATCCGTGACTAGTGCAGTTTAATATTGTCGGCTGTAAAACAGTTTCCCACCGAATACAATGGATAATGACAGCATAACAGCGCAGATTGAATAAAGTTGGACATTAACACAATTGTATGCACACTGAATGGTTTAGAGGTTAGGCGTTCGGAAGTCTTAGGTTCGATTCCAGTTTTCCGAATCACAGATCCTCACCACTGAGACAGCCATCCACTGCTTCCAGGCTTCTTACGGTCGTCTAACAATGACTGGTTCATAATTTCAATTCAAGAATTTCGTTGAAAAGAGAATTTTATTGTCTGAATTCTCTGTATATTTATTTCAAGAAATTAATATCAAACTCATCATGCCGGATAATACAACAATATATTACCAACATGGGGTTCAAAATGTGCACAAACTGTTTTTATGCGTGTATCTGTGCATGTATAAAACAACTGTTACGGATAAGTGTGGGTGTAGCAAGGATTTGATTTCGACCAATTCGGTCTCGCGTGCTGTTACGGGTATGATGGCGGTTGTCACTTCCCGGCTGCACACACCATAGAAGGTTGTTTCTTGAGGAACCTGAAAAGAAAGATAGATTAGCGTTGGACTTAGAAACCTGGGTCCAAGGGACAACTGCTTGAGGCCGGTCACTCACGGCCTTTTTATGAATGGTTTTTTGAGGATTAGCTCCGCTCTTAAAGGCCCTTAGTGGGCACCCTTACCGACGGAGACGGAAATCCGTGAGGTAGGGTGAGGTGTGACATTTTTAGGGTCGATCTTTTCTAACCGTTCCTTCCTTGTGAGAAGGCAGCATCGCTGCAGATGCTGGTTGTTGTCCGAGGGAAACACCTTACTGCTGTCACACCCCTCCATCACAGTCAGTCAGCAGTACGACTTCGCCCTCAGAACTTGGGTAGCTGCTGCTTTTAGTCTCATCGTTCTCCAATCGACCTGCCTGGCTGGCATGGTAGGACCTGCAGGAACATATGTTCCAGCCAGTATAGCTCGGTTGGGCCATCACGATAGGCAAGCCCGACCACCACGTCAAGGTAGCAGCTACGGTCGGGATCAAAACAATTGGTTATAGTTCGGAGTTTAACATTCGAGTTTTTACCACAAAATACCATCAAATATAACCAAAAATATGTTCTCTTACCATAATTAGCTCAAACTTCTAAAATAGGTGTTTGATATGCTCGTTAATTGATTTGCTTGAATGCTGTTACGTGTTCACCTTAGTCGGTAAACACGAGAGTGAACACAAATGATCCAGTGACACGATAAACTATTCTAATCCGAGAGTCCCAAGGCCACACTAAGTAGAGGAAGAAGTCTTGATATGGCGTAGAAAGTGTATTATACAAGCACACAGAAAATATGAGGTTGCT